GCCTGTCAGCGCTGAAGATGTATGGTCCGTGTGACGTGATGTTCATCCCACCTACTGCATATACAGTTTTGTATACTGTCTGTAAAGGTGTTGCAGATGGCAGGGAGCGCTGCCCTGTTACATTCCTTTTCAGCAGTGATGGGTGCACCTCCGCTCATATATCAGCACAACTATCTGCAGACATCTGCAGACATCAGCATACCCAGCGGCACATCTTTCAAACAGAATGAGGAACTCTGATCTGAAATAAATCAAAGCTGGAATTTTATTTAAAAAATCTGGGACAGGAAAAAAGCACTAATGTTGTCCAATATTTTCATATGACCTGAAGCTGCTGGTTTTTGAGTAGAAGAAGAAGTAGAAAGATAAATAGCTGTTTGAAGACTATATAGGTTATAGACTGGGTGCACTTGCCTGTGGAAAACTATCCAGAGTATGAAATCCGTCTTAGCCATGAAACTACATGTCATGTGTTGCATCACTGCACATCAAATCTAAACCCACTTCCACAGTTATGTAGATTTATTAAGGTTGGCTCACATCAGACTGAGTGAACTAATGCAGTAAATCACACAGTAGCTTAGTAAAGTTAGAAATTAAGGCAGCTGAGGTGTTAAGAAATATCTTCAGGGCTGCATAATTTTCTCTTTAATTGCTATTTTAAAGTTAATCTGGGACTCTAACCCATTTTCTAATTCTGAGATGGTTTTGGATATTCTCCTTTTTTCTATTAATATGGTTGAATGTGTGTTTTTTATTGTCCCATTTGCATTAAGTGAGTGCAGCTCACCAGGTTTTGATCACCCTTGACGGTTAAAGTGTTGCTGGCTGGATTTGTCGTAGCCCAGATGTTGAGCAGATTGTATTACAGTAGGCAATAAGAATGTTATCCTGGAGCCATACTTCTACATCAAACACCTTCTCTGGATTGGAGCCTACGGGGAGCACAGTTGTCACATGCCACCCACACAACCTAAAAGACATGTGGAGCAGAGATGGGGCATCAGAAATGATCAGGACCTCCTATTATGGTTATTTTAGAAGATGCACAGTCTATAAGATATGAGAGATGATGCAAGAGTGGGACGCATATGTGTGCGAGTGGGTTTAGGGAGATTTTGTTTTTTGTGCACGTGAATGCTGCAGTGTGCACACATGCTAAAAGAACTGAGGATGTCACCGCCCTGAATCAGTGACGTGGATGGGATCAGGTGGGGAAATTGCTCCGGGAGTTTGGGGAAAGAGTTATAAGAGAGTTCTGCACAACTCATGTTTTCTCAGTGTGTCACTGCTGTAGGATCATACAGTACAGAGAGTGTGTTCTGGTACTCTGATCTGAGAAGACCCCTGGCACTTCTTTGCAAAAAAGGTAGCGTAAAAACCCAAATTTAAATTTACTTTCTTGCTCATTTTGGAACAAAACTAAACAATTTTTTATAGCTTAAAAAAGGTGAAGAAAAGATGAACTTATGACTGAACTAATTTCTCATCAGCTTTTCTTCAACCGAAAGACTGTTTAGTATTTTTGTAACGTGGCTTGGCAGCACTTTTCGGTGAGCTTGCTCCTCAGCAGCACCCACAGCCTATATTATTGTGTTTGTTAGATGAGAACGACGAGGATGAAGTTGGCTCTCATTATGCTGTGCATGATCTCAGCGTGTGGAGCTCAGAAATCGAAACAGGAGACATCACGCTGGGAACCTAAAGGTCTGAAAATGATTTTTAGTAATGTGACCTTTGACCGCTGAGGTTGTGTTTCTAAAACTTGGAGTGAATAATGACCTGTTTGTTTATACGGTTAAACTCTGTGTTCAGCAGTACAGACTAGTGCCAAGACTTGCTCAAACCTGACTCAGGTGCTGGACAACTGGAAATTTGCTATTCTGACCCAAGTGAAAGACTTGCTGATCAATGACCACGCTTCAGTCCTTCCTGAATATAACAGGTGAGTTATATCAGCTTCTGATTAAACTGGATGTACACAGCAATGATAGCAGACAGACGAGTCTAAATGTTAAGTAAGAGTAACGTCAAACGTCCAGGAAAAACAACGCTCGGTGATGTCAGTGAACATTTGACTCGTCCTCAGGGTTTGTTGAAATAAAGACTTATGTAATCTGCTCTGTGCTGCACATGAATTGTCAGTGCCAGTAAAGCGATCAATGATTGCTGTTGTTCACATGAGGCCAGCTCTGCTTTGTAAATGACCTCAGTGTACTTACTGTGCCAAAATACAATAGTGAGTGTTTCATCATGCTCTGGCAGACATTACTCCAAGTCAGTGAACATTTCATCTGGTGATTAGATTCTGAACTGTGATTGCAACACTTAGGATCACAGTTCACCAGAACTTTTCCCAGTAAACATCTAAGGTCAGCCCATCTCTACTGGGCCAAAGCTCTGCTATGTTTTGCACTTTCATTTTTTTCAGGGGACTTCCGACCTTTACGTCTGCTATCCTGATGTTTTCCGTCGACAGTGAGGCTGTTTCCACTTAACAGCATGTCGTGACTTTCCTGTTTATGCTGCCAATTAGACTTGGTTCTCTTCTTAGTTATGTTTTGCCAATAAACAAGGTTCCTGTTTCATGAACTTACAGTGCCAAAGTTCTTTGAATGGTCATTCTGATACTGAAACCATTTACTTTTCCACATGTCCTCTTTTATGTCCAGGATCCAACCTCTTTCAGATGCTCTGGGAGACCTCTACCGGCAGTTTAACACTTTAAAGGATGAGCTGGGAAAGTTTACCACAAAGCTCGACAGAATGGAGGCTTTCGTGGATGAGCTCAAGGACGGCAGATACGCCCTGCCTCAGCGGCCCGTACATAGGCTCCAACCGAGCTTTGGTCTTAGGTCTCCTCTGCGTGCACAGATGAGGGGTCCTGAAAGGAGGATAATCACTAGCCCAACACTGAGAAGGGCAAGGAGGAGAGGACCGCAGAGATCTTAAACATGTGGGCTTTTTTGTTTGGTATAAATGCAGATTTGTTGAAAATAAATGTTTATATATTTTTCAGAAGAAGAGGATTGTTTTATACTATTTCTTTGATGAGTATGGTCAAAAAAGCTAAATAAAGTGGCTTTAATTAAACTTTATTAAAGCAAACTGTAGCCACCTGCTGTTACAAAATCACAATAAACCACAAGGTGGCAGCATTTATCAAATTATCTTCACTATATGCTGTTTTTTGGATGCATCAACGGGCTGGACTTAAAGTCAAATAAATGGCTAAACATGTAGTTAAGGAGTGTTATATATTACCTCATTATGATTTTTTTTTATTACTTTAATTAGCATTGCAAGCCATTGGTTTGTATTTGATTTGTTTATCCAAATACTTATTAAATTATAGATTCAGTGCAACTCCTTGAGTGTACTTGGAGCATTTATTTTTACAGATAGTATTTTACAATGTGTTATCGCTTCATAATCACAGCAACAGTAGCAGTGCTGCTATGCAAAATACTGCACCTCTTGAAACACGGAAACTTTCAGGTGGAGTAACTACCTTCGGAGAAGAACTTATGAACCACTGATCACTTCAACCAGGAAAGAATAGAACTGCAGAGCTACAGGATTACTTCAAAGAACTACTTGTTAAACAATGAAATAAAGATGAAGATCACAATGTTCAAACTCTGGAGACAAAATATACAAAAAAGTTACAGGCCTACAACAAACACTGCTCGGCTTAGTTTCCTGTCAAAAGTTCTTGCTTATTCACAGGTCATTCCCCCAAATTTCTAACAGCCAGACGCATCGGTGGTCATACGTCCTTTTACACAAGTCTGTGGTGGTATTTGACTGACCAATAAACTACTGGGCAGATATTCAAAGGAGCATGTTTATCAAAGGGGTTCAAAAAGAAAAGAAAAACAGTGACTATCCATCCATTTCTCCTTTCTTGTCGCTGGAGCCTATCCCAGCTGTCATAGGGCAAGAGGCAGGGTACACCCTAGACAGGCCAGTCTGTCACAGGGCTAACACATAGAGACACAGACAACCACTTGCATATTCACACTAACTGCACCGTCTTTGGACGGTGGGAGGAAGTGGGAGCGGATGATCTGATATCCTCGTGTTGGTGTTGTTCCCAGACCATCATGAAAATGTTGTTCCAGGTTCAACATTGCAAGTGACCAATCACATTGTTGTGACGTTATTCTTTTGCGTGGCAAGCCATTCGTGCATTTATGAAATTCCAATGTTGCAAGGACAATATCAATTCTGCTTACTGTTTATTAAAGGGTTACGGTTAGGGTTAGGGTTAGGGTCTGTTGATCGGCGGACAGAGGCGGTTTCACGCAGCTTAAGTACAGTTTTTTGTTTTATGCCGGTTTTTCCCGAAGTCGCAAAAGTATGACGTCACAACATTCTGATTGGTCACTTGTAATGTTGATCCTGGAACAACATTTTCATGATGGTCTGGGAACAACACCAACACGAGGATATCAGAGCACCCACGCAAACTTGCTGTATGGCAACAGTGCTAACCACTGTGCCACCGTGCTGCCCAGTGAATATACCCTGCAATATGAGCAGGATGCTAGCTTTCAAAACCCTGCCCATGTGATTAATGATATTATATAACGATGTACATATGTCTGCTTGTTGCCTGCTGAAACACCTTGACTGTTTTTCATTCACCCAACCTTTGGTATTCACCTTGATTAGCAGAACAAATAATAGCAATGACAGAATTGTGCTGTTAACAGAATCTTAATTCCAACAAATTGGATCAACAGTATATCCTGAATTCAAATATACACATATATAAAATAAAACAGGTCTAAAATGAAAACACATTTAGATTTATTGTAAAAAAAAACTCAAACATTTACAATATTTGAAATAAGTTAGATTTTGATCTAAATATGCAAATTCTTAGAGTTGAGTTGTGATCAAAAAGTTTTTAGTATTGAAGCCCCTCCTCCTCTGCTTACTCTATATAGTCCTCAGTCTCTTTTCATTATTCAGTTCAGCTCACCTCTCACCTGGACAGTAAAGAGAATACGCTATACTTTCAACATGCTGAGAACCTTCTGTACTCTTATTGCTCTAGCATGTAAGAGCGGCTACTGGTTCATTTTATAGTCTGTATTTAGAAACATAAAACTTTATTTAAATATTAATTAATTTAAACATTCTTTTTTTTCTCTGACAGGTGTGGATGCTGCAAAAGTGTTGACCCAGACACCACCTGTCCACACAGTTTCTCCAGGAGACGAGGTTCTGCTCAAATGCAATGTTCAGAGAGATGAAGGCTATTATGTCAGCTGGTACAAACAGGTCCCTGGTTCTACTCCTCAGTATATTCTGAAATTTTATCATAGCCACAGTTCACCCAGCTTTGGAACAGGATTCTCCTCAGACCGATTTAATTCTAAAGCCTCATCAAACATTGATTATCAGTTAATCATCAAGCAAGCAGAAGCAGGAGACTCTGCTGTGTATTACTGTAGCACATGGGACAGCTCTGCTAATGAATACGTATCACAGTGATTTACACTGTGACAAAAACCTCTGTACAGAATACTTCTGCTTTCAGAGGCTTTAACATTTTGTTAACAATGACTATGTGTCTGCTAGACATCCAACTGGATCATAGATAAGGTTAACATATATCAAGTGTCTTTGGGCTAGGAGACTTCAGAGAAAAATATCAAGAATATCAGAATATCCTCCTCAATAACAGAGGACCAAAATGAGTATTTAAAATCTTCTTGCACATTGATTTTGCTGTTTACTGATTACCAAACATGTTAAAATAAAACAAAAGGGTTCAATGACTTTAACTGGACATTTAACTTTACTGTAGTTAGAATAAATAAAATGTTGTGCTGTGTCACATTTGTAGACCTGGGACAGTTAAAGGCATGAGTGTCACTGGTTTAAAATGCTTATTTTAAACCTGCAACCTTTACACTCTGTTAGTAAAGCATCACCTCTCTACTCCTCCTTCTCTTTTTCCCAGAATGCACCTGCAGGTCTGAGCATCTAATTTATAACGTCAGGAAAGTTGTAAAAGAGAGTTAAGGTCTTTCTAAAAGGAGATGTAACTGCCCCTGACTGGAAATGTTGTATTTCACTATACTTTGGTAATTCAGGGAATTAACTGAATACTGCTTTGGTTTTGTCCAAGAATAACTTTATTTATTATATAAGAAGCAGTAAACAATGTCCAGCTGTACAACTTTCGCAGCTCTGTTGTTGTCATACAAACATTTGATATGAAAAATGTTGATTTTTTAACATTTAGTTGCCATTACTACTTAATCCTAATTTTTAAATGGCTAGTACACATAAAAGTCCGAGCTGCTATGAAATGACTGTTTAAGGTGCATTTTAATGTTAAAGAATCCAGTTTGCAGCAGAATTTTTTTTTGTGGCTGATCTGAATTTAGATACTATAAAACATCTCCTAATATAGATCCTTGGATTAAGCTGTTGTAGCTATTTTTACGTAACGTTTTTGTTCAACAATAAATCAGTTTTGTATTCCTGCTTTTTGAACAGATCCAAAGATTATGTGAAAATAGAAGTGGCAAAAACTTACAAAAACTTTCTTATTTGCAAATAAAACAACCACATAGAATGTATAGATTCACCTGACTACACACACTTTGTTATTTAACTTAACAGGAGATTAATCCCAACAAAATATGTCCTGAATTTAAATATATTCATAAATAAAAATAACATTGCTGTAAACTGAAAACATATTTAGTAGACTTATCCTAAAAGTAAACATTTATGACATTTAAAATAATTTTGAGTTTGGTGTAAAACCCTAATTTCTAGTTGAGTTGTAATAGTACAGTTTTCAGTATTGAAACTCCTCCTCCTCCACTCCTTAGTTATTAAAAGTCTCAGCCTCTCTTCATTGCTCAGTTTTCCTCTCAGCTGGACAGCAAAGAGAATTCACCGTACTTTCAACATGCTGGGGACCATCTCTACTATTATTGTTGCTCTAGCATGTAAGATAATCTTCTGGTTTATTTCATAGACTGCACTTTGAGAGTTAAAAACAGACTTACTGCAATTTTTTTCTCTGACAGGTGTGGATGCTGCAAAAGTGTTGACCCAGACACCACCTGTCCACACAGTTTCTCCAGGACAGGAGGTTCTGCTCAAATGCAACATTCAGAGACCTGAAAGCTATTATGTCAGCTGGTACAAACAGGTCCCTGGTTCTACTCCTCAGTATATTCTGAGATTTTATCATGAGCACAGTTCACCCTACTTTGGAACAGGATTCTCCTCAGACCGATTTAACTCTAAAGCCTCATCAAACATTGATTATCAGTTTATCATTAAGCGAGCAGAAGCAGGAGACTCTGCTGTGTATTACTGTGGAACATGGGACAGCTCTGCTAAGGAGAGCGTATCACAGTGATTTACACTGTGACAAAAACCTCTGTACAAAGTACTTCTGCTTTTAGAGTCTTTGACGTGTCATTTAGACTGTTTGTCAGCAGCTGCCAATAAAAACACAAATCATCAGACACGTCCATCCTCTACAAGTTGTTCAGATTATATGACATTATTGTATCTGTACACATTTTAATTATATTCAGGGATAGCCTTTGGTTTTTTTTCTTCAGAAATAAATTTCTGTACTGACTCAGTCTTATGCTGTATATTTCAGTTTTTTACTGAATTGATTCTGTATGTTTTTGGATCATGTCCTTCGTGTATTTTCAGACTTCAGCCTCCCTCTTCTTGTCCTGACAGTCTTCCCTCCATGCAGTGCTGAGCTCCAGTCCAACAAAGCCTCTCTGGTCTGTCTGACCATCCAAACATCAGACTGGGTGAAGTGTCTTTGTGAAAACCATCAAGAATTCATAATGTCCCAATGAATAGTAGATGCCTGTGCAAGTAGGTTATATAGCTGATACAATTACTTATAAAGCTAGACAAGATGAAAAGAGAGCAAAATAATCTTTACCCACAGCTCCTCCACCTTTTGGTAATCTTAAATGACACCTCATGCTCATTCTCTCTTTAGCCTATAAAAACAGTCCAATATTGTTTGAAGTTACAAATCTGCTCTCATCTCACACTGACAACTGGCTGGTGATTCTCTGCACTCTCATCAAAGTTCTAGCATGTAAAGAATCTGATGTCCACTGCAGACTTATGCACAGATGAAGCTTAATCACATTGATTGAGGCTGTGAAAAAAACCCCTAAATTAGAGACATTACAGTTTTAAAAAAATCCAACATTACTCATCTCAAATCATTAAATCTCGAACAAAACATGTAATGGGATTACATTAGTGGTTGGAGGCAGATGGCATTTCTACTTTCTGCTAAGTATTTCTGTCAGAAATGGGATGACTCTGTAAGTTAAGATGAACAGTGACTCAGACTGTGACAAAAACCTGAGATACACAACAACTTTCATGAGATCTGAAAAACATCAAACTATTTTCAGCTTTTATAAGTATTACACTAAGTAATCCTCACTTTTTGTTTAAGGTACTGTTTAATTTTTGTTTAAATTATCTACTTGATATCACTTGTTGAGAAACTTAAATCTATCTTTAAATTCTGAAAAGGGATCAAGTTAAAACACTGCAAAATCATCATGAAGGACATGAAAAGATTGTAAAAATTAAAAAAAAGAAGAGACTTCACATTACCAAGTCAAGTCAAGATGAGAAATATACATATGTATGTTTAAGCTCCTCCTCCTGTTAGTCGTATTAAAAGGCTCCTTCAGCACCTCCTCTCTTCATCCTACAGAAGCTTTACAGCCACTTTAAAGTTACAAATTAGAAGTGCATTCTCAGCTCACACCGATAACATGCTGGTGACTCTCTGTGCTCTCATCACTGCTCTAACATGTAAACACTTTGACTTGCACACATATATACTAATGTCAGTGTGTTTCTCTTGACTCCGTGTCTTCTTGTTGTTTGCAGGTGTGAGTGGTGTGACAGTGGTTACACAGAAAACTGTGCTATCAGTGAGCAAAGGAGAGACAGCCACCATGGACTGTAACCTGGGGACTGTTACTGACCGGTCTGCTCGGTGGTATAAACAGATTCCAGGAGGAGTTCCTCAGTATGTGCTGTATTTTTATCATGGAAATACATCTCCAAGCTATGGCTCTGGGTTCTCCTCTCCAAAATTCACTTCTACTTATCAGTCAAGATCAGATTTTCGTTTAATCATCAGCAGTGCAAATGAGGGAGACTGCAGTCTATTACTGTCACACATGGGATGACTCTGCTAAGGAGCACGTATCACACTGATTTACATCATGACAAAAACCTCACTGTTACTTCTGCTTTTTGAGATTTACACATCCTGATAACAAAGACACTTTTGAAACTTTTTGAAACCAACTCACTAACGACAGATAATGTGTTAATAAACAATAAATTACTTTATTTTAATCAAGGGACTCTCAATTCGATTAACTATCTAACCTTCTATTACCACATGACTTTGACAGCATACATTCTGTTGACGTTCTCCCCAGAGAGAACCCAGAGCCAAGCATCAGCCATAAATGCTGATGCTTGGTATTTCTGTCAGACATGGGATGGCTCTGATTAAGACATACAGACATAAATAAAATAGAAGCAAATATTTCCGTTGTGTGTGTTTTTTGGAACACCTCTTTATATCATGTGTTGTTTTAAAGGAAGAATATCAACACTGTGACAAAAAACTAAATGAGAGTTAAATAATTTCCCCCAGGGATCAATAAAGTATTCTGATTCTGATTCTGATTCTGATTCTGATTCTGAGAGACTCTACAGATTTTAAAAATAAATTCTAACCATTTGAAATCATTACATTTTTTTGACTTTGACTTTTTTTTTGTTAATTTGTTGTTGTACTGTGCATTTAAAATATTGAGGTTAAAGCTGTGTAAATGCTGACCCCAGCCCAGCAGCCAGACTCTAAACTTCAACAGATAATAAAAGCAGTGATGAGCAGTCAGACTGCAGCCTCCTTTTCTACCTGTTCATGTTTCTAAACTAGAATCACAGTGACGACTGCTGATGGCTTTGAGTTCACACCTAAACACTAAGAGAAAAATCATGTGTGTGTTCTCCGTAGGATATGGATTTCTGTTGGTGTATGGGACTACAGTCTAGCCTCAGGTTTATATTGTTCAGTAGCAATTATGAGACAATGAATTTCAGGCCATTTCATGGAGAAACGCAAAAGTAAAGTAACTAGTGTAGAGAATTACTTTATACTGGGAATAATTCAGTCATGTGCATTATTTGTGCATTATCTTTAAGAATAGTAATGAGTAATGTATAAAACATTACTTTTTTTGAGTAATAACCCAACAATGATCACAGCAAAGAGGGGAAATACCTCTAACAAGTTCAAATGTTTGACCACACAGCGTGCAAATAATTTTCATGAATGTAATGTGTTTAATATGCTTTTCAGTGATGTTGGCGACTCTAGAAGCAAAGCCAGTGAGAATTCAGTGAGACTCAATAAAGAATCGAATTGATAAATAATATTGATAATCACTAAATCACTAAATTCTTATCAAGTCCCATCCCTACTTTGTGCTGTATTTTTATTATAGCTATATTTTTCTTTATGGGTTTGGCTTCTCCTCTCCAATATTCACATGTACTCATCCGTCAACATCAGATTAGCATTTTGATCAACAATATATGGGGAAGTGACACTGACAGTGAAAGTTGGTCTCAATTGGATGTTTCAGTTCCTCTCCCCTCATCACTTACAGTCAGGAGGTTTTTGTACAGCCATGTATACAAACTGAATCACTGTGGTATTCGGACAAGGCACCAAGCTGATTGTGACAAGTAAGTGCTTTTAAACTGATCATGAAACAGGAGGTATTTTGTGTTTATGCTTAGATTCTCTAATTTTCTCATTTCTCATATACTTAGATTTTTCTTTAGACTTTTTTTTTGCTGTTTCATGCAGTCTGCAAGCTACAGAGTTGATCACACGTTGTAATGTGACTTAAGTTCTTCATTAGTGCACAGACACAGATATTGAACTTGATTATTCTTAAAAAAAGGTTTGTATTATCTGCCTCTCAGAAAACATTTTTTAAATAATATTTTCTGGAAATTATTCCATGTTCTCTCAGTAGTAACAAACATTTGACCAAAGGTGGAAAACTGACTATAATTGAACAATCTGGCCTTAACCTTAGTGTTGCTTGGTTTTAGAATTAAACCCATTTTGTCTGCAGTTTGTCATAGCTGGTATTATTTTTTCATCTGTGTGAAAAAAAACAAAAATTTTCTGATTTAAAAAAAAATCTATTTTTTTGTTCTGCTTTAGATGACTATTCCTTCTTCTTTGCAGATGTCATTGTCTTTTATGCGAGTTGTTTATTTTAGGATAAATATCATCTTCATCCAATATCTCAGGCCTGATGATGATGTTGTAAGACATAGCTTTTATGTATTTTGGAGAAGTTATTTTAGCTATTTTGGGAGTTAAAGTATAGTATTTTTTCATACATTACTTTATATTGATCCAGTTTTTATTTATTCATTTTATTGTTGTTGTTGTTGTTGTTGTTGTTGTTGTTGTTGTTGTTGTTGTTGTTGTTGTTGTTGTTGTTGTTGTTGTTGTTGTTGTTGTTGTTTTTAAAATGGTTTTCATCTATTTTCAGGCTCCAGCCTCCCTCCTCCTGTCCTGACAGTCTTCCCTCCGTCCAGTGCTGAGCTCCAGTCCGACACAGCTTCTCTGGTCTGTCTGTCCAGTCAGTCTGTGCCTTTTGCAGATGTGAGCTGGTTGGCTGGTGGGAGTCCAGTGAGCAGTGGGATCTCTACCAGCACTGCTGTTCAGAGACCAGACCAGACTTACCAAATCAGCAGCTCTCTGACCATCCAGACATCAGACTGGAACATGGATAAGGTTTATACATGTAAAGTGTCTTTGGGCTCACAGACTTCAGAGAAAACCATCAGCAAATCAACCTGTAGCACTGACTAGCAGACGGGTCAGAATCAGCATTTAAAGTCTGCTCTTCAATCCTTTTGGTATTTTTTGTGCCTGTGTACATGTAAGAAAATACTAGCAGTTAATGTTTGCTATGCATTTATTCTGCAAAATGTTAATAAAAATATTGCAAGTGAACATTGGAGGCAATGTAGCATTTCTTCTTCTGCCAGTTTGAATTTCCTCAACTCTTCTGTATGTCCATGTGCTAGTGTGTGCATGTCCATAAGTTCTTTACTTGTGGGGAGGTTATCATAGCTTCATGTTAGTCTCCAAACTTCCACCTCAAAAAACAAAAGTAAAAAAATTCTCTGATCATATATAGAGAATTGGGAGTGCCTGAAAGATAATTATATTTTACATTCTGGTTTAAGTTTCCTGCAATAAAAGTGGTTTGAAAAGACCCCCCCCCCCCTCCAAAATGAGTAGTAACTGAAACTATCTACACCTCCCCCTCTGTCTTCCAGGATGCACCTGGAGGCTTCTTCTCTGAATTTAGAGTATTATGCAAATCAAGTCCTAAGTGAGAGGGGACTGTCCCTGACTGGAAAAAAAAAAAGTGAACCTTTTCATTATTTTACAAATAACCACTGTTGCTTTTAAACCTGGCTCATCTACCAAAAAAGGAGAAATCCTTTGTGATGATAAAATAATAGACCATGAAAAAAAAAAAATATATGTATATATATATATATATATATTGTCAGTGTGAAGGCTCAAAGATGTTAAATGGTAAATAACTTTTCAGATAATATAAGAGTCAAAAGTTAAAGTCACTGATGCTGAAAGTCAAATAAATAAGTTGGTAAGTAAATAAGAAAGAAAATAAATGTGTAAAAAATAAATAGCATTGTAAAATGAATATATTTTCCCCACAAGGGGGAGGCATTGTCCAATCAGTCTCAGCCACTGAAGAGTGTGATTTTATTTAAAAGCATTGAGGTAATAAGTAGTTGATATAAAGGAATCACTATGAGGGGCCGTACAAGCCAAAATTCATACTTTCACTCTCACATACATATATTCTTCTTCCATGCACATGAATTTTGGCTTGTACGGCCCCTCATAAATCACTGTGAACTACTGCATTGTGGTTTTGCTTCAAATTAACTTAAAGCTTCATTATATTTTGATCTGTGGAGGCTTATTAGAGGAAATATGAATCAGATGAATCATCTGTGTGAGATGTAGACACAGTTTCCTGTTGTTAACTGACAGGAGTGACACCAGATCAGTGCCTGCTGCTGTATCTCATTTGCTTCAAGGTTTGATGTGTGTCTGTTCAGTGATGCTCTTCTGAATATCTTGTCTGTAAAACGTTGTCGACAGAGTTACTGTTACCTTCCTATCAGCTTGAAGCAGTCTCTTTTGACTTCTGGCATCAACAAGGCATTTTTATTCCAGAGAACTGACACTTACTGGATATTTACTTTTTTTGGGCCCATATGACTATGTAAACCCTAGAGATGACTGTGCGGGAAAATACTAGTAGATCAGCAGAAATAATTTGTAAATAATTTAAATTAAAGGTTTTTGCTGCACATTGGTTTGTGTCTTCTGTATATTCTGGGAAATTCCTCATCTTTAGAACAGCAATCTCCACAGAAAGACTTTGGGATAGGGTGACTCGGTAAATAAAGCACAGTAATTCAATATTGCAAGGAAAACTTGAATTAGACACTACAGCTTTCATGAATTCTGAAAAACATTAAATATTTCCAGTCATTCCATAAGGAGTGAAAAAATACTGATAATGAATGAACTTCTTTTTTTTTAAATTACCTTCACGTTTAACAACATTACACCTCAGTTTGTTAGATGAGCCCAGTGTTGCTACCACTAATATTACCACCAGGTATAATTAATCAGTAGTAGTGTCAGTATATTATTTGATGATAAATGTGAAGACTCAAACCAGTGGCAGTGGTAAAAAGATACATATTAAAAGCACTTGACATTATTTATCAGAAAATATAGAAAATTTAAGAGAATTTAACAAAGGAAACAATTCAGAGAGAGCGCCATAGCTCCTCCTCCTCCTCGTTGTATTAAATGGCTACTCCAGTACCTCCTCTTCTTATCTTACCGTAAAATCTCAGTTGACATTGACAACATGCTGGTGACTCTCTGTACTCTGATCACTGCTCTAACATGTAAAGAGTCTTATACACCAAATTATACAGCAAGAATTATCAGTCAGTGTGTTTCTCTTGACTCCGTGTCTTCTTGTTGTTTGGAAACATATTGGCACCATGTATATATGTATAGACACATAGTGAGGGAGAAAGGTGACTGAAGAAGAAACACTCAGTGAATCATAGGAATCCCCCAGCTGCCTTGATATATTGCACTATAAAAAAGGGAGGATTCAGGGTCACCTGATCCACTCCTAACTATATGCTTTAGCAAAAAGGAAAGTTTTATGTCTAATCTAAAGCAGAGAGATGCATGCAGATAGATATAGTCAGAGTGAGTATGAACAAAAGGAAACAAAAAGGTCATTAAAAAAAGAAAGAAAGAAAAAAGAATAATGTTGTAATGGGTTGATAGGCGGGAGACCAACACAAATAGACATAAATATAGTAAAGACAAAAAATGTTGCATATACATTTTTGAAGCTCCTCCTCTTGTTAGTTGTTTTATAAAATTGCTCCTGCAGCACCTCCCCTCTTCATCCAACAAAAGCAGTACAGTCCGTTTCACAGCTGCAATTCTATCTTTCATCAAACAGTGAGAACATGCTGGTGACTCTCTGTGCTCTCATCGCTGCTCTAACATGTAAACACTTTGACTTATATTGCACACATATATACTAATTTCAGTGTGTTTCTCTTGACTCCATGTCTTCTTGTTGTTTGCAGGTGTGAGTGGTGTGACGGTGCTCACACAGAAACCTCCTGTTCTATCAGTGAGGAAAGGAGAGACAGCCACTGTGGACTGTAACCTGGGGACTGTTACTGGCAGTGCTGCTCGTTGGTATAAACAGATTCCAGGAGGAGTTCCTCAGTTTGTGCTGAGGATGTATCATGGCTGGAGTTCTCCAGAATATGGCTCTGGGTTCTCTGCTCCAAAATTCACATCCACTCATCAGTCAACAAAAGATTATCGTTTGATCATCAGCAATGTGGAGGAGGGAGACTCTGCAGTCTATTACTGCCATACATGGGACAGCTCTGTTAAGGAGCATGTATCACAGTGATTTACATCATGACAAAAACCTCCTCACTGTTACTTCTGCTTTTTGAGATTTACACATACTGATAACAAAGACATAAGTGAAAGCTCAGTGTACACTCACCACCCACAGAAATCAGTTTTTATTAACAAACATCAGAAAACAATAATGTTGTTTCACGATATGATTCACTAATACACACAAAAAAAGTCAGTCATATATTGCTCTTAAATTAGTTTTGATGAATCAGAAAATTTAAAAATTGAATTAAGTACTGTCAGCATACTGTCTCACATATGAATACTTCATCAACATTTTCACTTGTTTTTCTGAAGGTTTTACTCCTGTTGCTTAAAATAACAAATAGTAACAAACAAGAAGAAATCAAATTTCACTGTTTGTTTATTTCAGTATCATTCTGTGACATCAAGCTCTAGGCAGTACATATTGGTTGATATTTTATATATCTATAATTATATTAATTTGACAATAAAATATGATAAATTACCTTTTAATTAAAAAGGTGCTGTTATTAAGAGAAACTCCAAAAGATTTCAGCGCTGTACTGAGCCCCCAATGTTTAAAGTCTTCCAATGCACCTGAAACTCCTGTTTCAATGTTACCATTAGTCATAGTCACAGTAATGGCAGTATTACTTTTTTATATGAGTTTTACCAGCTTCCTTTTATTTCAGATATATAAACTTTACAAAAGAATGGTCCACACTAAACAAAAGCTGAAATCTCTACTTGATTTCATTGAATGATAAATGTGAAGGCTCAATCTAGTGGCAGTGGTAAAAAGATATGTAGTTAAATCAGAAATGATAGATAATTTAATAGAATTTAATAAAGGAAACAATCCAGAAAGAAAGAGATAGAGAGAGAGAGAGAGAGAGAGAGAGAGATAGAGAGAGATAGAGAGAGATAGAGAGAGATAGAGAGAGAGAGAGAGAGAGAGAGAGAGAGAGAGAGAGATATAGAGAGAGAGAGAGAGAGAGAGAGAGATTCCCTGCTCCTCCTTCTCCTGGTTATATTAAATGGCTCAACCAGCACATTTTCTTCACATTTTATTGTCAATTCTCAGCTCACATCGACAACATGCTGCTGACTCTCTGTACTCTGATCACTGCATTAACATGTAAAGAGGACTTATGCATCCAATCAGACCTCAAGAAAGATTTATTAGTCTGTTTGTTTCTCTTGACTCCATGTCTTCTTGTTGTTTGCAGGTGTGAGTGGTGTGACGGTGCTCACACAGAAACCTCCTGTTCTATCAGTGAGGAAAGGAGAGACAGCCACTGTGGACTGTAACCTGGGGACTGTTACTGGCAGTAATGCTCGGTGGTATAAACAGATTCCAGGAGAAGTTCCTCAGTTTGTGCTGAGGTTTTATCATAGCTGGGGTTCTCCAACCTATGGCTCTGGGTTCTCTGCTCCGAAATTCACATCCACTCATCAGTCAACAACAGATTATCGTTTGATCATCAGCAAAGTGGAGGAGGGAGACTCTGCAGTCTATTACTGTAAGACACATGACAACTCTGTTGATGAGTTCGTATCACAGTGATTTATACTGTGACAAAAACCTCCTCACTGTTACTTCTCCTTTTTTGGATTTTTACACATACTGATAACTAAGACAGTGTATACTCACCACCTAAAGAAAGTATGATTAAATAAATGTTATTTTTATTGACAAACATCAGACTGCACTAACGTTGTTCCACCATATGATTAACTAATATATTTTATATGAACATTTTTTATGTCAGACATGTAAAAATGATTATGAACCAGAAACACTGATGATATGAGTTATAGTTATTGTTTTGAAGACTCATCT